CACCGAGTGCGCGTACCCGACCAGCCAAAGCAGTCGCAGCGTCACCACACCCGATCACTCATCCACCCCCGGAGCCCACCAGCCAAACAGTCGCACGTCACCACAGCCAGTGGCCATCTCATCCGACCCAGACGGCTACGCCAACCGCCCAGCGATCCAGTCCACCAACCATCCACTGCATCCATCCCCACGAGCGGCCTCGCATCGCCAGCCAAACAGTCCAGCTCACGCCTAGCGTACGGCATGTGTTGCGCGGACTCAGTCCAGGCCAGCTGGCTGTTGAAGCCCGGTGGCCGAGGGGCGCTAGAGCAGTTGTCGCACAGCGCCTATCACCGTCCATCATGCACCGACGCGACTCACCAGCCAAACATCCACTCAGCCAGCACATCCACTCATCCACCGCACCAGCCGGACTGCCGAGAACATCCAGCCACCACAGCCAGTCTCAACCATCCACCCACCGTACGCACGCTGCCGAGCATTCCACTCAGCCACACCGATTCCACTCATGCCAGCGCCACCTAGCCCACCACCAAACATCCGACTCACACAGCCATCCACTCGATGCGCACCCTACCTACTACACCAGAAACAGTCCACGGTCACGCACACGAGTCCGACTCGAGTCCAGCCGCACCTGACTCCACCACAAAATCCAGCTCACCACACCATTCCACTCATCCACCCAGACACCCAGTGCAACAACTCCACTCAGCACCCACCATCCACTCATCTAACCACGCGCCGCCCCCTTGCCCAGCATCCACTTCCTACCCACACCATCCCACTCATGTCCGCCCACCTACTCACCACCAAACATCCACTCACCACACCATCCACTCATCCACCCACCACCCACTGCCAAACATCCACTCACCACACCATCCACTCATCTGCCCACCTACCCACCGCCCAGCATCCACTCACCACACCATCCACTCATCCGCCCACCTACCCACTGCCCAGCATCCACTCACCACACCATCCACTCATCTAACCACCCACCCACTGCCCAGCATCCACTCACCACACCATCCACTCATCCGCCCACCTACCCACCACCCAGCATCCACTCACCACACCATCCACTCATCCACCCACCTACCCACTGCCCAGCATCCACTCACCACACCACCCACTCATCTAACCACCACCAAATATTCACCCACCACCCACTGACAATCCACCATCTACTACCCACCATCTACTCATTTACGCATCCACCAACCACCCGTCACCCAAGGGTTATCCACTTGCCATGCACCCAACACTGACTAGTCACCCACAAGCCACCATGCCCCACCTACCACCCACTCACCAACCACAACCCACCACCCACCACCCACCATCTACCCACCAGCCCCTATTGAACCACAAACCATTACCCACCACCCAGTCACCAACCACCATCTACTATCCACCATCCACTTACCAGTTTCTACCCACTCAAAACTGACTACCCACTCACCACCATCCATTCACAAGTGACCCACCACCTACCATCCACCACCATCCACCCACTATCATCAACCACCTACCACAAACCCATCATTCACCCTCTATCCACCACCCATCATCCACCCAAAACTCACTACCACAATCACCATCCACCATCCATCCATCCACCATCCACTATTCACCATCCACCATCCACCATCCACCACCATCCACCATCCACCATCCACCACCATCCACCATCCACCATCTACTCATTCATCATCCACCATCCACCATCCACCATCCACCATCCACCACCATCCACCATCCACCATCCACCACCATCCACCATCCACTATCTACCACCTACCATTCACCATCCACCATCCACCATTCACCCATCCACCATCCACCATTTACCCATCCACCATCCACCACCCACCATCCACTCATCCTTCAACCACTCTCCACCCAAAATTTATCCACCCACGTCTACCACACAACCATTATCCCCCATCCACTGACCACTCACTACCCACCATCTACCCACAAACCACCCACCCAAAACCCACCATCCACCCACCAACTGTCAATCCACCATCCACCCACACACCCACCATCCACCCACATATTAATCCACCCCCTGTCACCCACTGACTGACCACCCACCATGACTGACCTCAATCCACCATCAAACCACCACCTACCACCCATCCACTACACACCCCCACCCTCCATCACCCACGCAAAATCCACTATCCACCCTCCAACCACCAACAACCCACAACCTATCACCCACCCACACATCCATCCATCCATCCACCATCCACCCACATCTGCCACCCTTCCAGACCACCCTGTTCATCACCCACTATCCACTCTTCCACTCACCATCCACCCGCTATCCACCACCCACACACTCACCATCCATCAGTCCACCCTTTGCCCACCATCTACTGTTCACCTACCATCCACTCATCCATTCAGCATCCACGACCCACCCACCCACGATTCACCCACTATTCACCTTCTACTCACCAAACACCATCCACCATTCAACCACCATCCACCACCCACCCATTCACCATTTATTCACCCACCCATCATTAACCATCCATCCACCATCATCTATTCACCTTCCACCCATCCACCATCCACCATCCATCATCCACCACTCACTATCCACCATTCGCCATCCACCATCCACCATCCACCATCCACCATCCACCCAGTCATCATCCATCATCCACCATCCACCATTCACCATCCACCATCCACCATTTACCATCCACCATCCACCCACTGTCTACCATCCACCCACCCACCATTCACCATCCACCATCCACCATCCACCCACTGTCTACCATCCACCATCCACCATGGACTACACTTCCACCTTTTCACCCTGGCTGCATCCATGTCCATACCTGGTTGTCTTTCCTCCCCCAAATCTGTCCATTGGCTATTTCTCCAGTCATTTGTCCATTCATCTTCCACCATCCACAACACTTCTGTCAATTTCTATGCTGAGCTTTCATCACCATCCTCCATCCACCCACCCATCCATTAAATGATTTTTTTTTTTTCCAGCAGGTTCTGGACACTGTATTAGGTCCTGGGGATTAGAAAGATTAACGAGAAGTGGTCCTTGATTACTCAGTCTCCCCTTTTCCCATTCACCACTGAATTAAATCCAAACATGCTCATCTGGCATTTGAAGCTCTCTGTGCCTAGGCCTAAGTCTTCCTATCTAATCCCTCCTAATGTCAAGCTGGACCCCTTACTCTCCCCTAAGTGCACGCTACCCCTTCTTGCTTCCAAGCCACTGCCCACACTGTGTCCTCTGTCTGATGTGCTTTCTCCCTGCCATCTTTCCCTATCAGGGTTCCCCTGTGTGCCAATCCCCTGCTGCAGAGGCACCTCCTCCCGGGAAGGCTTCCCTTGTTTCCTTCTGACAGTGATGGTAGAGGCCTTGGTCTGCCCCTGCCCCGAAGAAGGCCTGGCTCTTCAGTAGCTGCTTTGGGAACGACCTTCCTCACCTCTCACATGGCGCTGGAGCCTTGTGGGTTGGAGCTGGGGTCTCATCTGCAGCCACCGGTGCAAGGCTGCAAGTCCAACATGCAGTGGGATTGGACCCTGCCCTGTCCCTCTCTGGCTATGACCTTCAGGGAACTTTCTGTCTGAGGATCGGCCCCTTTGTCCTGGAACTCGTGGCGGGCCCGCAGGGGAGGTGGAGGAGGAGCCTGGCAGGAGAGAACAGGGCTGTCACACCGACCTGGACTGGGAGCCCGGCCTCCGCTGCTGGCTGCCCTTGGTGAATTGAGCCTCAGTTTCTCACCCAGCAAATGGGAAAGCCCCAGTGGGAGGCGCGAGGCTGGCTGTGGAGCTGCCGCGTCATGTGTGGGCTCCTCGCGGCTTGGCTCCCCCTTTCCTTAGCCCTGCCCCACTGGGCTTCCATTTCTCTTGCTCCTCCCAGCATTCAGCACAAGGAGGCCCTGCGGCCCTGCCAGGTGCGGAGGCTGTTACCTGTGCACCCTTCCCCCTCTCCACACGCCCACCTAGCTGGCCCCGCTGGCTCCAGGGGCCTTCAAAGTCAACTCCCCAATGAGGGTGCCGTGTTAACAAGTGTGGACACCATGTCCCCCATGAGCTCTGTGGCCTTGGGCTGGTTGCTTTACCTCCTGGGCCTCAGTTTACCCCTCTGTGAAAGGAGCATAAAGCCGCCAGGTCCCTGGCGCTCCCCCGAGAACTCATCAAACAAGGGCTGGTCTGAGGCCAGCCTAGCAGATGCAGCCCTTCAGGCCAGGTCAGGAGCAGCCCTCCACGTCCTCCTTCCTTCTGACGAGTAGGTGAGACTCCCAGACAGCAGGTGGCCTGTCTGTCTCCCCACCTTTGAGGAGCCTTCCGTGATACGGTCCAGTGACCAGGGGCCTATCGGGGGCACTCTGACCACCCCAGCAGCTCTGCCTCAGATTCACTGCACCTTCTGTGCGGGACAGGGATTCATTTAGCAGCCACGACAGCCATGGGGTGGGTACAGTTAGTGTCCCCACTCTACAAATGGAAAATTGAAGCCCCACCAGTCCCCGCACATGCTCTGAGCACCTGTGCCATTCCCACAGGGCCTCTCCCTGCCTCTAGGGGCCCGGGGGATGCAAGCTGGGCCCGGAGTGGAAAATCAGCCCAGGTCCCTCTGAGAAGGGAGCAGGCGGCCCTGGGGTCACTTCCCACACATGTAGCCCAGACCCTGGTGTGGGAAGTGACTCTCCCAAGGTCCTGAAATGAGCCCCAGCAGGACCCAGAGGAGAACGGGGGCTGCCGCTTGCTCCATCCCCACCTCCCCCAAAATGGGGCTGGAAGGGCCTCCCCTCACCCTGTCCCCCGGGTCGCCTCACCCCATCCCTCCGCCGTCCCCCGGGTCACCTCACCCCGTCCCCTGGGTGCAGTTGGGACAGTCACAGGAGGGGCCTTTTCCTTTTATTCCAAAGATTCTTGCTTCATCTCTCAATCTGAGGTCTTTATTTCCACACAATTATTCAGGATTTAGGAGCAACTTCCCTGCCCTGCCTGCATCTGTGGCCATCTGGTCTCCAAGTCTTCAGTGTTCGTGGGACACCAGGGATGCTCACAGGATGGACGAGGGCCACCCGCCCCCTGAGGTACCCTGAACATCTCTTCTCTGGGCACTGGGTCCCCCACCTCTCATAGGCTTCAGGGCCCCACGAAGGGTAGGGCAAGGCAGCGCACAAGTCAGGGTGCCACCGGTGGGGACCCCAGCCCAACCAGAACCCTCCGCCTGGGATCACCCAAGGGACCACATAGCCCAGGTTGGCGACTCAAGAACCAGGGGCACAGGTGGGGGCCAGGGGCTCCTCTGCACATGGGAGAGAAGCCCCAAGTCACAGGACACCTCTCTTGCCTTCCCACCATCAGTGGCTCCCCAGCGCCCTGCCAGGGCTGGCTACCTTCCTTCCTCCACTGCCTTCGCTCCTGCCGTCCTTCTCCCCACATCTGAAGCTGCTCACCCCAACAGCTGTGTCCCAAAGAGGCAGGGCTGGACACGTTTTTTCTGTAGAGGGCTGGGGAGGAATCACTTTCTGTTTTCCAGGCCAATCTTTGTCATGTTTATTCAAGGCTTGTGTTAGTCCTTTCCGCTGCTGTAACAAAATCCTGAAGACTAGGCCCTTCAGAAGCAACAGAAATGTGCTTCTCTCTGTTCTGGAGGCTGGAGGGCAAGATCAAGGCGCCAGTAGGATGGGTGTCTGATGAGGGCTCCTCTCTGCATGCAAGACAGTGCCAGGCCACTTCATCCTCCTGAGGGGGCGAACGGGCATCTCACAGGGCAGGAGGGACCTAAGGGCAGAAGGGGCAGCCAGGCTTCCCAGCCCTTCTCAAGGGTTAAGCCCACCTTTGAGGGCAGGGCCTCCTAAACACCTCACCTCTTAATAGCATCTCATTGGTGATGAAGTTTCAACACACGAATTTAGGGGAATGTCCAGACCCCAGCAGAGACCCGAAGCAGCTGTAGACGAGGTGTGACAAGTGCTGGTGGCTGTGTTGGAACAAAATGTCACTTCCAAAGGAGGCAGAGCCTGGATACAGCCCAAGATCCCCTCCGGTAGGGACCCCCATCCCAGGGACTCTCAGGGGCTCTGGGACGAGCTCATTTCCTGCCTGGTGTCTGAACAGAGGCACTCAGGAGCTGTGCAGCTCCCCCTGCACACCCCCAGCAGCTGACCGGTGGACAGGTGCCCTCTCCTCTGCCTTGTGCCAGGAGCGTCTGCCAGGCAGGGCTCTCCCTCCCACATGGTGGCTGGGCACCCTGGCCTTTCGGCCTAAGTCCCCAATTATCCAAGGAAGGAGCATTGGCTTCAGGGCCCTGGTCGTTCCTTAGGGGAAGCCCAGAGCACCCAGCCCTGGCCCAGAGTAGCCTCTCCTGTGCATGGGAGCAACTGACCCACTGCCAAATTCCAGAGCCTTGGTGCAGAGGGCAGTAGTCAGACTCCTCCTCACAACCCAGCCTCCAGCAAGACCCTACACGTCTGGTGCCCACTGCTCCAAGCCACAGGGTCCCGGATTCCTGGGTACAAAGACAAATAGAGCCTTGGAGGAGACCCCGCAATACTCCCCATGCAGCTGAGATCCAGGTTGGGGAGGAACTCACAGGAGGCCAGGTCACCGCTGACCTGGGGCCATTCGGGTGCTGAGAGACCAGGAGGCACCTCCTCCAAGCAGGCTGCGGGGCCTGCACCCTCCTCCTGCCCCCGCGTGAGCGGGCTTGGCCAGGAGAACCTCGGGACTGCCCGAACCCCAGACACCACAGCACCTGCATCTGCTCTGTCCACACCCATGAGCTCGGGCAGCACAGCCTGGGTGGGAAGCGCCACCTCCCTTGCCTGTGGCCAGCTTTGTGTGACTCACAGCAGCCGCCATCTCCCACCTCGCCGTTCCTCCTGCCACCGCGTCTCCTCTCTGCCGGGGTTGCGAACTCACCCCACCTACAACCACGGCCAGGGTTTCTGTTGATTTTCTGTTTCCCACCACACATGGATCTCCAAGAGGACAGGGCCAGGTCTGTTCCCGGCGCAGCGCCCAGCACACCACATGTGGACACTAAAGGGCTGCCAAGTGAAGGAAGGTGCCGGTGGAAGCTGCTCTCGCACAAGGCGGAGACACACACTCATGCATGCTGGACGCTGTCCGAAACGCCCCACCCATTCAGCTTATCACCAGCCGGGCAGGCCTCTGACTTAGCTGCCCCAGGGCCCCTCAACTGGCCTGTGGGGGTGGAGAGAGCAGGCAGCCATGGGAGGAGATCGGGGGTATCACGGCGCAGAGACGGCAGCACTGCCTAGAAGACCGTCTGCCCGTTTCCGGCCTCTGCAAACCCTGTCGCCGCTGACTGGATGCCAACACCCACTTGCTGGCTAGGACACAGTCCCCGCCCTTCCAGAAGACAGTATCTGCCAGCCAAGCCAGCCTTCAGCTGCCCAGCAGGAGGCCCCGGGGCAACGCCTCAATCTAGCCCCCAGCCCTTTGAGAATCTCACCTGGGGACACACTCTGGGGGCTGCGTCCACCTGTCGGGCCCCACACACATCTTCATCCATTGCAGCCGAGAGAAAAACACGGAATCCCAAAGTCGGAGGGAAACTGGAACGGGACACGGCGCACAGGCTCGGGACAGGGGACACCGGTGTGTGGGACCCACTGCTCCCACCCACCAGCCGTGCGGCCCTGGGGATCCCATCACCCTCTGTGCCTCGGTGTCCTCGTCTGCAGTGGTGACTGCCTCCAGGAACCTGCTGGGATAGAGCGGCGGTGTGCATGGAAGGGTCCTTTGTGAGCTCCACGCTGGGCCGGCAGCTGGAGGGAGCGGGTGGCTCTCACCAGGCTCCTGCGGAATCGCAGGTAACTCTCCCTCTCAGGAGAACCCGGGGGCACCGAGCTGCGGCTGGGAGCCGGGCTCATGTGGAATCACAGGCAGGGCCGTGTCATCTTCCCTTTCTGAATGCAGAAACTCAGGCTCACAAAGGCCACATTCTCTGCTCAGGGTCAGACAAGGCTGTGTACTGCTCAGGCTTCCACTATGACGACGCTTTGTAACAGGTAACCTACAAACTGTGATTACAACAGACCAAGCTTCCTTTCTCCCAGGTCTGCAGGGCAGCCCGGCCCTCGCTCCAGGCCCCTGTGCACTCAGGTCCGCCCCATTATCTCTGTCCTGGGACCCGCGGCTGCCAGGCTGGCTCTTCTCACGGTGGATGACAGCAGTGTGGAGGCCAAGCCAGACAATCAGGCCAGGGGACAGCCCCCATCATGCCTGACAGCCGTGGGTCAAAGCCACTCACGTGGCTGAGCCCAGCGTCAATGATTCAGGAAAAAGCGCTCCGCCTCCTCCGGCAGGAAGCATGGGCAGAGTGTGAAGTGCAGTCCAGACACAGGGAGGGAGTGGAAGGCTGCGGACTGGACGCCGCCCAGCCCTGGTAAGGACACAGCCGAGGGCCAGATGCACGTCTGCTTGGCTCCAAGAACACTTTTTCCTCTGAACCAAGGCTCCTCTGAACTGAGGTTACGCCTCGGCTCAGAGGGCGCTGAGACTTGAACTCTGCCCCCAGGTTCCAGGGGGCACTCTGCCACTCCCCACAGCTTCCATGGAACACTCTGCCACCCTCCACAAGAACCCCTGCAGCCAGCAGCACGCTGAGGTCTGCACCTGCCGTCAGTGCCCCCCAGGTCTCCAGCAGTGGAATGTGGGCCCCTCCTCCTGATCTCCCAGGCTCTAGCCCAGCCATCCTCCAGGGCCAGCCCTGCAGTCCCATCCCAGGGCTAAGAGGATGCCATGGTCATGCCCTGACGTGCCCATGGAGAGGACAGAGGGAGCAGTGGCTTGCCCACCAGCTGCGGACTTGACAGTCCCCACAGCCCCGTAGACTGGGGATCTCACCAGGCCCCACATGCTCTCCCACACAGGAGGCTTTTAGTTCTCAAGAAATGGACACAAAACAAATAAAGAACAAGGAAGCCAAGGTACAGAAAAGGGATTTTTTGGCCAAATGTGTGCAGCTGGTCAGCTATCCTGGCTCCGGCAGCCCTGCGCCTCCTGCAGGACTCCCCTTGCATTTCCAAGGCATGAAGGTCCTGCCAGGCGTGTGCACTTGTGGATGCGTGTGTGGGAGTGTATGTGCTGTGTGCGCATGTGTGCGTGTGTGTCTGCATGTCTGCATAGTACTGTGTGTGCTTCTGTGTGAGATGTATGTGTTTGTGATCTGTGCACACACACGTGGGCTGTGCAGAGAGAAGGGTCAGGAGACGTGTCGATGTGGGAACACTCAGAAGCTCCCCCGCCGAGATCATTTAAGGGAGCAGCGCTGGGCTCAGCTAAACAAAGGCTTTTGTGACAGCCCCGTGTCTCCTCTGATGCCCACTGAGGTATGAAATTAAGTCCAGTGCTTCTACTCAGCCAAACCAATTACCTGGGCTCCAGCCGCAAGGGACAGGGACTTGTTCGATTTGCTACCCAACCCCCAAAAGGTTAAATTCATTGTGGGGACCCTCCACGGCTTGCTCAGCTGTCAGCCCACCCAGCTGAAGCATCCACATTGCCGACAAGCCTGACACTGCTGAGCGCGGCTCTGACCCACAGGGTTTATCCAGGGCCTAAAGGTGCCCAGGCCTCATTAAGTCCTGAGATATGCAGAGGCGGAAGCCCCAGGCCTTGCTGTCAGGGAACACAACCTCAGCCCACTCCCAAGTTACTGGGGCATCAGGGGTGTGGCTGAGCGGCCACACGGGATGGACAGGGACGAGGAGTCCCGGCAGTGACAGGGGAGCCGAGGGTGAGCGGGGTCAGGAGAGCAGCGAGAACGGGGCCCAGGGACGTGTTGGCCAGGCAGGGGTAGTGGTGGTGGCTGGGGGCCTCTGGGTGTCCCCAGCAGCCACCATGGTGATGAGTCTCCCTCCACCCCAGAGTGGACAGAGCTCCTGGATTGTGCTGAGGCTGGTGTCGGCAGCTGGGGCTGGAGACTCCAGAAGCCACTAGCCACAGGGCGCTGTCATCCAAACCAGCTAAAGAGAAGAGGAAGCCCCTGGGCCAGCCCGCGCCTTCCCTCCCGTGCCCAGCAGTTCTCAGGTGGCCGTGGAGTGGAGATGGAATCCCATTGTTTTTCTTCTTTCAGGAAATCACACTGCTGTTTTCAGGTGCTATGTTTATTATTAGCAGCGTGTTTGAAGGACAGAAAAAGTCACGGTAGTGTGATTAGGAACAAATTTGATTACGATTATGAATTCTTAGTGGGTGTTTAGAAAACTCCACATTCTATCTAGACTTTCTCGTATCTAGATACCAGACGGGCACTAGTGTCCCGTCCACCTCCCACCAGAGACTTCTGTCCAGTACGGTGTCAAAGATGCAACGTTTATGTGATGCGTCTTATTTTGTTGCAAGAGGGAAACATTGTGCAAAGTTGACATTTGTGGTAATATATTATGTCAGGTGAAATAGGCAAGAAGTTAATTAAAGTCAGAGAGTTAATTAATGAGATCCAGTGCACGTTAGCGATCATTACCTCATCTGAGAAGAGTAATTAGAGTGGCGTTGCGGGCGTTTCTCTATTCTTCAAGGTGGCGTGTTGACATATCGCGTAAGTCAGTCCGTGTTGAAGGGTAACTGTCTCTCCACGGAGCAGCTGGGACAGTGGATGGATCAACCGTGGCAACTGGGCTTCGAGGCCACAGCAGCGCTCACAAAGCCCCATGTTTGATGGAACCAGGCCACCTGTAAGCAGCCAGAGACATGCGGGGACAGCCCGATGCTGGCTGCAGTGTTGGGAGAGGGACTGAGAGGGCCAGCAGCAGTCTGGCCCTGGGAGCTTCCCAGGTGCCTGGGAGATCAGGAGGGCAGCAGCTCTGACCAGCATCTGTCACCTGCGTAAGTATGACTGGCAGCACTTTCAGTCTCAGAGTGCCCCAGTTTGGCCAATCAATGGCATGGTGGTTCTAGAGGTAGGAAACGCAGGCTTAGCCGTCCACTGCGTGAAGACAGAGCTTTCTGCCTGTTTCCCACAAGGATGTGCCCCGAGTGCCTGGGGCAGTGCCCGATGCTGGACAGGGGCTCGGTGACAGGCAGGATGAGTAGGGGGCAGAGCGCTGCCCGGCTGGGGGAGCGAAAGCCACCGCTCCAAGGATCCGCTTCGTCTCCCTGGGCCTCAGCTCTCTCGTCTGTGAAATGGGGACAGGCAGCGTCCACCAGGCCGGGCAGGCCTGAGACTCAAGGTGAGGATTCGGTGAATTCACATCTGTGAAGCTCCCGGGACACGTTGCACACAGCCATGAGGAATGTCAGCCTGACTGAATCTGCGAGACTCTCAGCTCCTGGAGTCAGGACAGACCCTGCAACACCCTGGCTCCTCCAGGGTCCCGTGTGGTGCCCCGAGGTTGGATTTAGCACAGAATGGCTGAGGGACCCAGGCACGGTGCAGAGCTGCGGAGAGAGTGCCCCGCGGATGGCCAGAGTTCCAGGAAGTGTCCTCTCGAAGACAGCGCTCCAGCTGAGGCTCAGAAAAGACAGACAGATACAGGAGACGCTGGAGTTTCCTGAATGGAGTTTAGTTTGCAGAATTACCTGTGGCTGCAGCTTGGAGGGCACAGCCAGTCTGGCAGGACAGTCTGAGGAGCACCCCGGGTGGGGTGGGGAAAGCTGGAGAGCTGGGGCTTAGGTGGGGCTGGGGCACTAAACAGTGGGTGCTGTTGGTCCCCATTTTACAGATGAGAGAGCTGAGGCTTGGCGAGCCTGAGCAGTTCCTTGAAGGCTCGCAGAGGGCCTTGAGCACTGGGAAGAACGCTCTGGCCTTATTCTGTGAGTCCAAGGGAGCCACAGAAGGTTCTCGAGCAAGGGAGTGGCTTTGACGCTACCTACTTAGAACAGTCCCTGCAGGGGCCTCAGAGACTCACTCCAGGCCTCCCTCTCTAGAAACGGGAAATGTCTACCCTTTGCAGGTGGCAGTGCTCTGTCCTGGACCACACGCGTGGACTTCTGTAGCACACGGCACTCTTCCAGACACTCAGACCGAAACAGGTGACATCCCGCAGAAGGTCAGATGCTGCAGGACACCCAGCATGGGGGCAAATCACCTCGTATGTCAGAGGGGACACCTG